GGATTGATTTTCCATCTTCTCCAGAGCAGAACTGAGTTCTTCATCCTTCTTTTTCAAAAGTTCTATGTTTTTGTCAACTTCAGCTACTTCTTGATCCAAGAGGGTGACCATCTCTTCCAGTTTCTGGCATCCTTTTTTCAGGTCTTCCTCTGTTCGTTTTAAGGCATTAAGCTCTGCCTGGGCACGATCCATTTCTTCTTTCATTCACCATCTTAGTTTGTCACTGACTACTGAAATGAGAGAGGCCCGGATGGTGTCCTCACTGATGGTGCCATCTCTGCTGGGACCCACAGTGGTCGCAGGAGGCTGGGAAGGGTACTGGGAACTTGTCGTGGCAGGGTATGGCCCACCTGCTGGATATGGACACCCAGGGTAACCACTGGGATTGGGAGGGTATCCGGATGGGTATGCAGGGATTCCACCGGGCATGCCTGGCATGTAGGAGGTATTTGGTGGCCCAGTTGCCTGGTACAGTGGGTAGGATGCTGACACAGTAGGACGAGAGAAGACAGGAGGCTCCTCTCCAAACATCACAATCATGACCTGAATAAGCCCCAGCAAGTCTGACTGAGGATGCTTCCATTCATGCAGGTAAGGGAGATATATTTTCCCATTTGCATCAACATGCTTTCCTGTTTTAATAGTCATTGAACTAGTAGGCTTAACAAAACAGATAGGGGGGTTATATGGGTATGTGTTCAGCAGCCATAGGCATATTGGAATATTATACGTATTACCTCTGTAAGGCACAGGAATTGTTCCAGTGAGGTTCATTAGTTCCCTAGAACTGCCATCATTAAAAACATATGAATCCAATACAGGTTTGAGATCTTTGTACAGAGTAATGACATTGACAGTTTCACGTACAGTTAGGTCTCTGTATTTGTACTTAGACACCATCTTCTTGAGCTGGCTCTCCGACACCGCCATGACGGCTGCCTGGCCGCTTCCTACTATATTGTACAACATGTACTTATTAGGGAAATAAGATGTCAATGAAATAAAACATTAAATATGTAATGAGTGCTTAGAAAAGACAACATACTCACATCAGCTGTTTACTTGCCTACAAAATCTAAAAGATGACATCAAAAATAAAAATCTACATGAACTACATTGTAAATACAGACAAAAGTCTACCACAGAAATAAGCTTGGCTTTATTGACTACACTCTAAGCAGTCTTCACGCATGACAACTGCATATTCTATACTCAGGTATTGCTTACACTGATGGCACATATGTTTTGCTTTCCCGTACTTTCTTGTAGAGCACAATTGTCATCTTTTTCTGTTTTCCTGCTGTAGTAGGTCTTCACGATGCTACTACTACCTGTTCACCTGTCAGCTCACCAGTGCGCGCCGCAATATTTTTGCTTAGTTCCCTGGGCAGAAAACATTTTGTTTTTCCTCTACTGTAAATGATCCCTGATGAGCTCCAGTCCCAATCCTCTAAGAAAATTTCTTCATGGCATTTTTCACTTATTATTTTCTTTGTAAACTACCAAACATGTGTTTATGCCACACATGTTTAGGTTCAAGTCAAACATAAGCACTGGCCAATACTTGTGTTTCAAGTAACATCATAGTTGCTGGATAACTCACCAACATCTACTCTGCCTCTGGCTTTGTTGCTGGAAGTTTCCATCTCAGGCTTCCATTTTATTGAAGTTTCCTATTAATAGTTCTGTCATGGAAAAAAGTTGACATCAGCACTACTAGATTGTTTTTCTTTGTCATTATGAGGCAAATTCAAATCTTTGTGAAATCTAAAGGTTGTACTTCTCTGTTTTGAAATTTCAATATTTCATTTGTAATTTCTGCTTCATTCCTGTGTACAGTTCCTGTGCTGATCAACTTGTGCTCTGTTAGCAAATGTAACACCAGTTGGAAGGTGGGAAGCCAACTGTCCAATTTCACATTATGATTAATTTAAAAGATGATAGCAACAAGTCTGTTCACAGCATCATTCAATTTATTACTATACAAATAAGGACCTGGTGGCTGAGCTCTAGGATACATGTCTAAGTTGAAACCATGATAAGTCTTTGCATACACAAGGGCATACAGTTTATGTCATATTTTGACTCTTCATTTTTCCCATAAGTCTTTTACATTCCTTCAATCACCGTGAGAAATCTGTGCTAAGTATAGCAGACCTGTGCTCTTTGAGTTCAACTGGTGAGGTGTTATAATGAACACATTTTTGAATATGGCTACTAGTACAAATACAATGTTTTCCTTGCATTTTAGCCTTTGTGTATTTCATATTGTCTATTTCAGTTTCCAACATTGAATGATAGTGCTACAAGTTGCATATTGTCTATTTCAGTTTCCAACGTTGAATGATAGTGCTGGTATTCTGTTCAACCGCTTTCACACTTGCCAAGAGTTTCACTGTGTTTGTGTACCTAGTCCTAACATTGGGTCATTCCATTTGGTTGCATAGTAATTTCACACGTTCTGACTCGTCCAACAATACTCACATGGCTGTTTTCATCATCATCTGAATCAAGCTCTGCCTGCCTTGTGTCTGTGTCAGTTGACTCTTGCTCCATTTCACTGTCATAGGAACCTTAGCTCACGTGGCCAGCATCAAAGCCACCATCATCATGACCATCATTGTCCATCCAGAGCACTCTTCTGTCATGAAGGCATGAACTTTACCATAATGGATCATCATAATCATCCATGCTTGAGTAATCTAAGCATTCACTTTTGATCTCTTCCAAAACTGGCTTTTCATGCACCACTGTATTGCACTGGGCTACTTCAACAGAAAAACCAAAAGAAAGCTTTTTAAAAAATCCTGGAGTGGTGTGAGTTTACTTGATCTTCTACGATGCTCAGGTGAACATGCACAAAACCAATTAGATGGCTCATAGGGGGGTACAAATCCCACTTGCTGCTCTTGCACACATTCACACTCCTTGTCATCATTCATCATACCATGTCGGTCAACACCAATTGCTTCTTGGATCCCTCAGGGAAGGGCATGTGATGCACAGCTGGCTACTATAATATTGATGTACAGGGCTGGGGAGATAGCTCAATAGAATAAGTGCCTGCCTGGCAAGCATAGGGTCCTGAGTTCAATCCCTGACACCCCCCAAAAAATATTAAAAAATTAACTTACAAATTTAGAGTAGAAAATTAGGGCCAGCATCCTCATGACCCAGTTTCATGCCCCTTATTAAAATGGAAGATCATATCCTCTTCATGATTAACATTACACTTTGGTCCACATATTTACTTTATAAATATCTTTGATCTTTTACCAGATGCTTATACATGATTATAGGACAGTGTGGCTCGTAGAGGAAAAAAACCAAAGATAATTCATGTTATTGATATACTTTAACTGTCTTGTGAGATTGTTTTTTGGCTCTAATAATAGAGATTTTTGATGACATCTTGAGCATAAAGTTTCTTGATTTCCTCCAAAGCAGTGCTGAATATTATTCTGTAGCATTTAATATTATTCTTTTGTCAGTTATAACCAAGATTTAAGCTCTAAAAATGCTGTGCCGCATAAAGATCATGTAAGCCATGAATTTTCTGGTAGACCCCTTCCATGATAACTTTAGGTTAGAGTTTCTTCAGAATCAGGACATCCATAGAGGGGAGCTTAGGGTGGTGTGAAGGTCTGAGTGAGCATCACCCTTAGTACTCAGTATCAGGTGCCTATGAGACCTGTAGAGGAACTTGGCATATGCAATGCCCCAGAATCTACCTGAGCTGAAAACAGTTGCATAATAAGCTTTTATTGCTTTTTGTGCTTTGAGGGCTTTAATTTTTCTAATACCAAATAAGGTCTCTTCTCATCATTTTTTCTTGACCCTTCACATGCCAGAAGATATTTGTGAATAACAGCTCCCATGTGTTCTGAAATAAATGCTATTACAAGCTACTGAAAACACCTCAAGGCAAAGCAGCAACTTATTAGCTACAACTTTATGAGGCCTCACGAATTTCTACTTCTGAAGGAAAATAAAACCCTTGCATCTGGCCATGCCTTTTTCTTAATACTTCACAGCTGCCATCCAAAAACTACTTCTTCTTAAGCCATGGTTGGCCCATGAAAGAAACGAAATGCAGAGGAAAAGCGTCTCTAGTAGTCACATTTTTCATGGGATTGGAAAGGCACGTGTGAGGAGCACTGGTGGCGGTCTCCCTCCGTCATGTGTCAAGTTTAGTGGAGATGGAAGACAGGGTCGCCTCATCCTAACTGAAGCCTCTGGGTCCAGCCCAAGAGGCAGGATACACATTGAAGAATACTTGATGCTAGGCATTGGAAGGTGCATTGGCTCACACATGTCCGTTCATTTAGTGGCTGCATTGAGCCTACTCTTGGCCCATGATCTAGGCTGTCTGCTGATTGCAGTAAATAAAATAGGATAAGATTTCTGCCTCTGTGGAGCTTCCTTCTAATGAAAGGTAAACAGAAAACACACAAAGAAATGTGGTGCATACTATACTACCAAGATCATATTTGCTATGTAAAAAAGACAGCCATAGTTGAATAGCTAGTTTACATAGCTCAAATAGTTGTTATGCATATGTGTATAGCTGTGAAATATATATTGAAATGAATCAGGTATGCAAGCTTAAATAGTGCAGTTTCTCTTACATGACAAGCCCAAATTATAAATAAAGTGAAAAATAAAAGATAGATAACAGAAAGTAGGAAGATGGAACTTTCTCATATGGGGAGATGGAGATGTTGACACCTGTGTGTGCTACCCTCATTCCTTATCTCTTGCTATGTGTTGCTGTTGCCATTTTGCTCTGCAACTCCACTCACTATGGGGCTTGATTCTATTTCACCTCTATGGCGCTGAGTTCTGAGGCACTGTCTGTGTGGCTGGTGGGACTTTTTTGCAGGCTGTCTCATGCCTTCCAATGGTTTCCACATTCCAATCCCAGAACTTTTGAGCATGCTTCTGTCAATGGCAAAGAAAACCTTAAAACCTTACAGATGTGATTAAACAAAAGATCTTGAGGTAGGAAGATCACACTGGATTGTTAGGTAGGTTTCATTTAATCCTAAAGGTTTTTATGAAAGAAATGATATTTGAAGAGAGAAGGTGGGAGAGAGTTGAAAATTCTATTGTTAGCTGTGGAGACAGAGAAAGAAGCTGTGAGGCAAGGAATGAGAATGTACAGAGCCTGGGAAGCTGTAAAATCAAAGAAACAGGTTTCCCTCTTGAGCTTCTGAAAAACTAAACAAACAAAAAGAGCCTTGCTGACATCTTTTTAAATATAACCTTATGGGGAAAATTAGTATTTAAAAACTGCATGTGTGTAACATATATATCTCGGGAAGTTTGAGCATATGAAACCACCCACATACCACTACCTCAACCAACGTATTAAGCATGTCCATCATCATCAGAAAGGCCCTTGTGTTCAGGTAGAGGTGTGTGTGCGCGTGTGTGTGTGTGCATGAGCATGTGCGTGCAAGTGCACGAGTATGTATACTTAACAAGAGTTCTCTCTTAACTTTTTTGAAGAGCAAAGTGCCATACTGTTCATTGTAGCCACTTTTGCATAGAGTTAATGTCTGTGATCTCTTCAGCATTTCTCCAAGGAAGATGCACAAAGGGCCACCACACATATGAAAAGAAACTCAGCATCACTAAATACTGAGGGGACTCAGATGAAATCCACAACCGATAGTCACCTCATGCTTGGTAAGATGGCTAGTATTAAGGTGTTAATTTTTAAACAATGCTTGGATGTAGAGATATTTGAACCCTTATACACTGCTGGTGGATGGAAGGGTACAGCCACAAAGAAAAAGTGTGGAGGTTTCTTAAAAGTTAAAACTGAAACTATACTATGATTCACTAAATGCACTACAAGGGGATATTACTAAAAGAGCTTCAATAAGTAACTCAAACAGATTGTTATAATTCTGCATTCATTATAG